CCCCCCCCCCCCCCCCCATTATTTTGTACATCTGTGCCCCAAATCTTAAACATACATATATACTTTGCAGCTTCATTTGGAAGGGCATGTATATTTCCTCTGAATTAGTAAGTTGATAATTTTGTGAGAGTGGCACATGTGGGGTTTTTTAGTATAATATTTGGTTCATAATTCATATTTGAATCAAAAATTTAATTTTATGGAAAGGAATACACACAAATAACACAGAAAGAAGTTTGACTGAAACATGTTGCTTCTGTTGCAAACTGCTCAGAATATATTTGCTGTTTATTTACAGGGTTTTGATAGCAAGATTTGTGATCCAGATGCCTATACTGAATCAGAAGAGTTGAAAAACAGAAATAACAATGCTCCAGAAGCAACACTGTGTGTCCCTGTGCCACACCTAGATTTGAAGAATGTGAATGATGGTGACAAATGGGAAGGTAATTGTGACTGCCTCAGTGCTTTTTCATCAACAGAATAATTCCAAAGTACACAGTGTTCAGAAATGCACATTGAATTCCTCATAATATTAGTTTATCGGGGCTGCCTATCAATACCACATTGATATATGGGCTCTTTAAAATGGGAATGGAAAAAAATAGATGCATAGAACACTGAGAGTTATATTTTTGGGGTTGAAACGTCAAGATCAAAGGATTCTTAAAAAATGAATCCCTCTATAAGTCCAAAGAGGAGAAATTGTTCAGATCCTAGTGATGTCCCTGTACATAATCTGTTTTGCTTTAAGTATTTGCAAAACAGTAATCTTTTTGAAATTTTTATGTACAATTACAAATACATTATGGAAAGCTGTTAACATTTAGAAATACATAATTCATTTAATTGCAGAATTATTGTCTGCCTGTCATACCACAATTCTATTTTGTCATAAGTTACAATTTAAAAATAACCATAGTAAGAATTTGTGTTAGTAGTGTCAAGCTATACTTTTTGCTATAATATGATAGTAAAAACAAAGATTCCTCCAATTACTCTTGGAAGGAAAACAAATAATTGTACACCAGGGACTTTAAAGATGTTCAGCTTTTGGTCTTCTGTTGATTTTTGAACACTGAAATGGTAATCATGCTTGAATTATTTATATCTGAATAACTCACACCCCTAAGCAGTTTACACTGTTGCACAGTGTTGATCACACAGTGTGTTGATGGGCGCCCATGTTAACCATGCTTTTGAATCAGTTCCCAAATAAGTGAATAGCTTCCGTACTAAATTTCTTTTGGATCCAAATATAAGAAATGATCCTTCTGCCCACTGATCCATTTAAAGGGGTGTGTGTGCTTGTTTACAACGGTGGGAGTGTCCATTTCTCACTTTGCTTTTAGCCATGGAATTGGGCGTGTCCATTTCTTGCTTTGCTTTTAGCCATGGAATTGGGTCCAATAAATCTGTTCTTCTTTCTGGTTGATTCTGTATTCTGGGGCTAGGATCCACAGTGGCATTGTGGGGTACATTTTCCCCACATTCTTGAGCAGATGGATGCTGCTCCTAAAGTGCTCCTGACTTTTAGTGGTGGGGGAGGGGGCAGCAGCAAGGGAGAGCTGCTGCACAAGCCAAGAGGTTGAGAACCTGTGTGCAAAATAAGTCTTTGTGTGGCCCTCTGGATCCTGGCCTAGGTCTGGTCATTCTGTTCTTCCTGGGAAAATTAAGAGTTCTCATATGCTGAGTTTTTCATGTTAAAGACCTGTTAGATTTCCTGTGCAAACTTGTGGGAATCCACACTAGTTCAGTGATATACAAAATCATTTAATACCCTGTAATCAAGAATTGGGTTCAGCTGTATTTATATTAATGGTTGCCATTTTAATTCAAACAAATTAGCCGTTCGAAAGCAAGAAATTGCAAGTAGATAAATAGGTACCACTTCGGTGGGAAGGTAACAGCGTTCCGTGTGCCTCGGCGTCTAGTCATGCTGGCCACATGACCACGGAAACGTCTTCGGACAGCGCTGGCTCTTCGACTTTGAACCGGAGATGAGCACCACAACCCTAGAGTCGGACTTGACTGGCTTTCGAGCAAGGGAACCTTTACCTTTACCTTTTATGTGCTGAGTACATAAATAATGTAATCCTTAGGGCTATAAACTTGATTGTGTTTTGAATGGCTTTAATGCTCAGCCAATGTGAGCAAAAATGTTACGTCAATCCTGTTGTCTAAGCTGTGTTTTGATAAAACATGGGAAAGCATGTGGCATTTTTGTCTGTGAGCTCTGATGACCACTTCTGGAAAGCCTTTTCATTAATAAAGGGCCTGATTTTGACAAGCACTGGGTAATCTTCGATTGCTACACTTTAAATGGAAGCTCAGTGCTCACGCTTGGCCCAGAGTCAATTGGAAGACTTTCCTTGTGGTGTCATACATGTTATTTATAGTTTGTTCTAACTGTGCAATGTGTTCACTTCAGTATTTTTTGCCATTTTTTCATTTATTAGCGCCATGCCCTATCACTTTTCCCCTCATTGATTTCAAAACAATGCATCTGCAGAGAGAAGGGGAGGGTAAGTATGGTTCGCCATACATTCAGTTATCTGCCTTTTTCATGGTTGCTTTCAAATTACCCCTTTACCTGCTGCCTCCCGAGGAGCCATAGTACAGTGATAGAGTCCATGCTTCAGTTCAAGTTTCTCCAGTTGAAAAGGATCTCAAGTGGTAGGCCTAGGAAAGGCCTCTACCTGAGGCTTTTGAAAGCTGCTGCCAACCAAACTACACACAACTTGGCTAAATCGATTGCTGGTCTGATGCAATGTAGGGCAACTTTATAAGTTCATATCATAGTAACACGTTGCACTATTCTTTTTTAAAAATGGTTTTGTACATCTTTTAATCTTCAAATACAGTTTTATTCTTGGTGGAAAGCAGGTAGAACTGGGCTAATCAACATTTTGTTGTATCATTCTTTTATGCTTTAGCTTTCAAATATAAGATCTGCACTGGAAATCAAAATACAGTACTTATTAGGCTGTTTTTATTCAGACAGCAGCTAAACATTGAAAGCCCCCCTGATATGAATGAATTTCAGGGACTAACAGTTTAAGGATTTTCTTTCTTGGAGCCCCCTACTTTAATTTGTAGAGTTCTTAAAACAATTACATTCTTTTATGGGACATACATGTCAGAAAAATGGTATGTGTACATCTAATGTGAAATTTAAGTTACTTTCGTCCATGTTTGAGAATAATTGTTTCTTCAGTATCACTCCAAAAGTAGAGTGAGCTATTCCTACACAGTGATAGATGACAAAAGTCAACATTCTTCATATATTGCAGCATAAACATTGGTTCTTAATTTTTTAAGAGTCATAAAAGTTGACTTTATTATGTAAAAGTTTTATACTGAGCCATGCTCTGATTGTTGCATTTCAGCTATTTCACTGTGTCTTGTGTTTTTTAAATTTTTAATGTCTGTTATGTAGTCTAAAACTTCTCCACCACCATTATTCTAGAATGTGTAGAAGGTGCGCACTGTCTATAGTTTAGTATGCAAACTGTACAAAATGCATTTTTAATCTGATACAAATGCACAAATATTATACACTGAGTAGAAAATGGATATGTAAAATGGGAGCACTTTGGGCTCCCCCCCCCCTTTACCATGCTGATGTGTTGATTTCCAGTGCACTTCACTGTTCATTTTGTGTATTCTCTCTCTCTCTCTCTCTCTCTCTCTCTCTCTCTGTGTCTGTCTGTCTGTCTGTCTGTATGTATGTATGTAGCACTTAAGACTAAGCATTGAGTGGATGTAGTCTAAATGAACTTTTAATAGAACCTGTCTTAATGAACTTTTAATAGCCCAGTTCCATTTGTTTTTCTATTTTTTTGTGTTTCGTAGAGCCGTTTCCTGCTTTTAAATCTTGGCAGGAAGACAGTGAATCTGGAGAAGCTCAGCTTTCTCCGCAAGCTGGAAGAATGAACCATCCTTTGGAAGAGGACAATCATCCAGTATTGTCACATCGGAGTTTGGATTTTGGGCAAAGCCAGCGTTTTCTACATGATCCAGAAAAAATAGATTCATCTAAAGCACTTTCATTTGTTAGGTGGGTAGTGAATATAGTTTTCTGGGAACTTCTCTATCTTCAGCTCCATATCATGTGTTAGGATTTAAAATTCCTATGCCTTCTTCACTTGTAAACCAGAGTTGCAGGTGCCACGTAACTGTGGCTGCACAGTAGATCATACAAGCCTCTCTTAAGAAGCTGCTCTGTAAATCCTACATTGCTGAAAGACCTACATATGAAGAGTAAACCATGCATAGAATTCAGGTTAAAAGGATTTGCTTTACCAGGATTAGAGCTGGGCTTCTTTTCTGGGGGAATGCGCTGAAAGAGAGTTCTAGAACCTCTTCGACAAAATTCTTTTAAAAATGTTTAGAAGTGAATGAGTTTTCAGGATACAGATTGAAAACTTCATTTTCCTCTTGAGAGTTCTGGCACCTCTTTTTCAAAAAATAAAAAGTCCTGGATTAGAGTATTTCCAAAATTCAAGCTCTGAGGTAACCAATGATCTTTGTCGTGGTCTCTGTGCAGTCCCACACATGGGTTGGGCGCCTGCGCACGACCTCCGGAGAAACTTCTAGAGTTTTGCCTCAGAAAGCTTTTGGCGGGCTCTCTTCCCGCCCTGGGGAGCAGGCACGTAGTGCGCATGCCACCTCCCACTCAGTTCTTCTTCGACCGCCTTCGTGTTCACACCTCATTCCTGTTGCTCTCCGTATTTTGCCTCAGCTGAGTATATTTGTTCGTCTGCCTTCTTCGGTCCTTGTTTCTTTGCTTCTCTTCTTTCCCCTCTACTTCAAAAACAAACAAAACAAAATAGACCTTTTTTCTTCACTTTCTCCCCCCCCCATTTGGTGGGTGGGGAGGAGAGTTGTATGGGCAAAACAAAGTTTTTTAAAGTGTGTCGTCGTCACCCAGGTAAGATACCTTTGAATGACGGTCACAATTTTTGCCTTCTTTGTTTGGGGGAATCCCATAGGGACATAAGAACATAAGAGACGCCAATGTTGGATCAGGCCAAAGGCCCATCCAGTCCAACACAGTTGCCAGAAATACCAGGTGCCATCAGGAGGTCCACCAGTGGGGCCAGGACATTAGAAGCCCTCCCACTGTTGAACCCCACAAGCACCAAGAAGACAGAGCATCACTTGCCCCAGAGCCCCTATCTATATCTTGTGGCTAATAGCCACTGTTGGACCTCTGCTCCATATGCTTATCTAATTCCCTTTTGAAGCCGTCCATGCTTGTAGCTGCCACCACTTCCTGTGGCAGTGAATTCCATGTGTTAATCACTCTTTGGGTGAAGAAGTACTTCCTTTTATCCGTTCTAACCCGACCGCTCTGCAGTTTCATGGAGTGCCCACGAGTTCTTGTATTGTGAGAAAGGGAGAAAAGTACCTCTTTCTCTACCTGCTCTTTCCCATGCATAATCTTATAAACCTCAATCATGTCACCCCTCAGTCGCAATGCATGGCTAGGAATAAATACAGTGAAGCAACATGTTGAATACCGGCAAACAGATTGATGACTTACTGAACCAGTCCTCGAAAAATCGTCCCTGCTTGTGATCAGTGAACAGAGCATGAGCCAAACTGGCAGGTGTTCATATGTCCCTAGCCAGGAGTAAGCTACGATGTCCATGTTTGTACAGAATGCAGAACCGTATTTAAGACTAACTGTGGTTAACAAAACAAAGTATGAATCCAGTGGCACCTTTAAGACCAACAAAGTCTATTTCTTTGGATGGAATATTGCCAGAAGAAGGCAGCATGCACATAAGAACATAAGAGACGCCAATGTTGGATCAGGCCAAAGGCCCATCCAGTCCAACACTCTGTGTCACACAGTGGCCAGAAATACCAGTGCCATCAGGAGGTCCAGCAGTGGGGCCAGGACATTAGAAGCCCTCCCACTGTTGACCCCCCCCAAGCACCAAGAAGACAGAGCATCACTTGCCCCAGAGCCCCTATCTATACCTTGTGGCTAATAGCCACTGTTGGACCTCTGCTCCATATGCTTATCTAATTCCCTTTTGAAGCCGTCCATGCTTGTAGCTGCCACCACTTCCTGTGGCAGTGAATTCCATGTGTTAATCACTCTTTGGGTGAAGAAGTACTTCCTTTTATCTGTTCTAACCCAACCGCTCATTCTTGTATTATGAGAAAGGGAGAAAAGTACTGCTTTCTCGACCTGCTCTATCCCATGCATAATCTTGTAAACCTCATTCATGTCACCTCTCAGTCGTCCTTTCTCCAAGCTAAAGAGCCCCAAGCGCTTTAACCTTTCCTCATAGGGAAAGTGTTCCAACCGTTTTATCATTCGAGTTGCCCTTTTCTGTACTTTTTCCAAAGCTATAAAATCCTTTTTAAGGTGTGGTGACCAGAACTGCACACAGTATTCCAAATGAGGTCGTTAATTAGCCAGTTTTTGATCCATAAAAGGACTTGTCCTTTTATCCCATGATTTTTGAGCTTGCTTAGGAGCCTTTGATGAGGAACTTTATCAAAAGCTTTCTGGAAGTCAAGGTAAATAATATCTATTGGATCCCCCTTGTCCACATGTTTGTTCACCCCCTCAAAGAACACTAACAGGTTAGTGAGACAAGATCTTCCCTTACAGAAACCGTGCTGAGTCTGCCTCAATAGGTTTTGTTCATCTATGTGCCTACTAATTCTTTCCTTAATAATGGTTTCCACCAATTTACCCGGTATCGACGTCAGACTGACTGGCCTGTAATTTCCCGGATCTCCTCTGGAACCCTTTTTAAAGATGGGAGTGACATTAGCTACCTTCCAGTCCTCAGGAATGGAGGCTGATTTTAAGGAGAGATTACATATTTTTGTCAGGAGATCCACAAGTTCACATTTGAGTTCTTTCAGAACTCTCGGATGTATGCCATCTGGGCCTGGTGATTTTTCAGTTTTTAAGTTGTCTATCAGTTTTAGGACCTCCTCTCTCGTCACCTCAATCTGACTCAGGTCTTCCAACACCCCTCCTGAAATCAGTGGTTCTGGAGTGGGCAAGCACTTCTCATCTTCCACAGTGAAGACAGAGGCAAAAAATGCATTTAGCTTCTCAGCCATTTCCCTATCATCCTTCAGTACTCCTTTTACCCTGAAGAAAGTTTTATTGTTGGTTTTTACGTTTTTTGCTATATGCTCCTCATATTCCCTTTTTGCCTGCCTGACCTCAGACTTGCATTTTATTTGCCATAGCCTGTGTTCCGTTTTATCAGCCTCACTGTGACTAGCTTTCCACTGCTTAAAGGAATTCTTTTTACTTTTTACAGCCTCCATTACTCTGTTTGTTAACCATGCAGGCTTTTTCCTATACCTCTTTGTGCCTTTCCTAACCTGCGGAATATTTTTTTTTTAGCTTCTAGGATCGTAGTTTTAAATAGTTTCCAAGCTTCCCCAATGGTTTTGACCCTTTCTACTTTTCCTTTCAGTTTCCTCCCCACATGTCCTCTCATATCAGAGAAGTTACCCCTTTTAAAGTTAAAAGTGGTTGTGTGAGTCTTTTTGGCCAATTCCTTATTTATACAAATGTTGAACTCAACAACATTATGATCACTGTTCCCAAGCGGTGCAATCACTTTTACATCTCTCACCAGGTCTTGAGTGTTACTTAGGACCAAATCAAGGATCGCCTCTCTCCTGGTAGGTTCTGTGACCATCTGCTCCATAGCACATTCATTGAGAGTGTTTAGAAACTCAATCTCTTTTTCTCGACTAGAACACATACTGACCCAATCAATGTATCGATAGCTGCGTCTATTGCGCTAGTTTTACTAGGCAAGCTAGACTTATTTGGAACTGGTGACCAAGATGGCCTCTGCGCCTCAAGTCCAGGGTTCCACTGAGTCCCCTGCTGTGACCGATGTTGTTCACAAGCTGGTTCAGGCCGCCTTCCCGCCTTCTACGGTCCTGCCTCTGCTGCCGGTCCACCTTTCTGCCCTTAAAGAGACGTGGGTCCATCCGGCTTCGATTCCCCCGGTCTCCAGACGATACGAAGCTCTCTATAAAGTCCAAGAGAACTTGGGGAAGTTTCTCTTCAGTCAGTCTCCACCGAATTCGATGGTAGTACATTCTTCCTCGAAATTGAAGCAATCTCCCTGCCACTCAGTGCTTCCCGATCGAGAGGGTCGCAAGGTCGATGCTATTGCGAAGAGGATGTATTCCTTCGCCTCTATGAACCTTCGTATTGAGACTTACCTGTCATACTTGTCGGGTTATGCTTTTAATGTTGCTAATGCAGTACGTCCTGTCTTGAAGTTTGTTCCAGAGGAACACTGTCCCACGTTGCCAGGGGCTTTGTCGGAAATTTGTACGATCTCAAAACAGCAGATCAGTCCGTCATGTTGTCACTTGCTTCTCAAAGGTCCTTGTCTCCTCCATCGCCCTCTGTCTTCATGCTTGGCTAAGAGGTACCTCTTTATAGCCCAATGTGAAATTTCGGATTGAGGACCTCCCATTTGATGGCGAAGGTCTCTTCCACTCCACCACTGACGAGGCCTTGAAAGCCGTTGATGATAGTCGGAAGCAGGCTCGGAACCTGGGTGTCTCGATCCCGACGCCTCGAAGTCGGTACCGTTCTTGGAAGCCGTATTATGCAAGGCGCCAGCCGTCTCCAGCGCCCACCTCCCAATGGAGAAAAAGGCCCTATGACTCCCGTCACTTGAATAAGCCCCCCCCCCATGTTCTCCTTCAATGTCCCTTTTATCTGGTGCCCCGCCAGGATTTTCTGTATCCTATATTAGCTCAATTCTCAGAAATTCCTGACAATTTTAAGGTTCTGTTTTTGCTTGATAATCAAGATACGGAAATAACCGAAATAGTAGCAAGGTTTCTTCTTAGTGCTATGGCTGTACGTTCTGATAAGTAACCATTGGTTTTTCTGCTTTCATGTTGTTTTTCTGCGCCGTAGCTCCAATTTTATCCTATATGGATTTGTATTTTCTAATCTATATTTAATCTGATCTCTGTATGTATATACGTATGCCAATAAAGGCTTGTCAAAGTAAAAGTTGAATAGGGTGCGCCAGT